TTCAGAATGGGAGGGATACAATTTATCAAGTAATGACAGATTATTATAAACTGTGATAAATGCCATGAAAATAAAGTACAGAGTTCTACACGAGAACTAGGTGGGGGCTAGAAGGTAGATGCTTTCACTTGCTATCTCCTTTTATCTTAATAACACTGTTCTCAGGTTATCATCCTTTTACACAAGAGGAAATCAAGGCTTCAGGTTGTTAAGTCTATTAACTCGTCCAGGTTCACACAACTTACTAAGTGGGAGAGCCAGGAACACAGGTTTGACTTCAAGACTATATTCTGTCCACTCTTCCATGATTTTGCTAATATCTAGATGGCTAATACCTTCACTGAACATCTCTGCTTTCTCAGTGAGGCATACCCTAGCCACCCTGTGTAATAGATCCAAATGCCTCCTTTGAATTCTCCTTATCCATCTCTACCTTTTCTATTATACTAACTCTATGTCCTATTATAATAACTATCAGTTTTAAACATTTTATTTATTGTGTATAGTGTATGGTGGTACGTTAGGGATCTTTCTGTTTTGTTTAAGATGTACCCCCAAAAGAATAGTTGGCTTACATACAGTATAAGGTTTGTCTTTATATTCAAGAAACTGTTTAATCATTCTCACTTTAATTCCTGGGAAAATAGAACTTATAGCTGAGTCAAATTAACATCAGTATTTAAATTTACTATGAAATTCTGTTTAAAAAACTAGGGCCACAAGTATTATTTAAAAATTTGCAGCCATGAAAATAATAACTAAAATACATGTAAAACGAAACTGTGAAAAGCGGATACACATGATGATGAAAGATCAGCATTTAAATACCTGTTCACTTTCTATATCGCATTATGACTGAATTTGAGGCACAGATGTAACATAACTCTAAAGCAGTAGTTTCCGAAAATAAAAAGGTTGGAATGACAGAACTGCCAAATCTGAGTTTCACCACAAGAGGATATTATAAAAGATATATGATCAACTATCATAATTCCATGAGAAGATACTGAGATTTTTAAAAATATGGCAATCTTACTATAATTAGGAAATACTTCATTATATGCTAATAATTTTGTTAAGATCTAAATGTGAAAAAGGTAAATTTGAAAGAAGATATAATAGTATTTTAAAATTTTTTACAATCATGAAATATTAATAGAACTGACATTGAAATAAAGAACTTCTGGTTCACAAAGGCACCATAGTGAAAAGGCATGCTAACAAGTGCAAGAAAATATTTGTAAACCTATGCAGTACCACGTACTGTTTTCCAGAATACATAAAAAATACTTATAAACCAATAAGGCCATAGGTAATTCATAGAAAAAGGAAAAGCCAAAAAATTAAAGTGTAACCACAGCACTAACTGGGGAGATGCAAATGAAAACTACCATGAAACACCATTTTGTACTCCTCAGAATGGCACAACTTAACAGTATTTGGAAAGAGAGAAAATAGACCCTTTTTTTGACTGACAGTTTGAAAGAAAACTGCTAGTTATATGATAAAATTGAAGCAGTTCATACCTTGTGTTCTAGCAATCTATTAACTAGATTTATATCCCAGTGCAAAATGTCTCTTTGATTATGTATTAGCTGTTATAACCAATGGGGGGGGGGGGAGGGAACAGATGCCAAGCACTCTTGGTACAGAAAGATAATTCTGCCCCATCTCCCATGACTTGAATATTCTGCTGGACACTAATTTTGGGGAATGGGCAGTGGGGGGAGGGAAATAAGGTCAGATATCTATAAAAAGAACTTAAAGTATATTCGTATTCCTTTAAGATAAAAATCTTTAAGGTAATCACAGTGTAGATAAGCCTGCACTTTTATTTTTGTTCAAACTTCACTGAAAAGTTTATTATTTCGGTAAACATATACAAGAATATTTCTACAATACTGCTTAATATGCAAACAATTGCAAGCAACTAAAATGACCAAATGAAACCTGATATAGTCATATAATGGAACATATGCCTTATAAGAGTAAAAATAAACAAACTATAGCTACCTGAATAAACATAGATAAAGCCTGGCAAGTTGAGTGAAGAAAGCAAACTAGATATAAACATATTTAAACAGTCATAATCAGAGTAAAAACTATAGTGTTCATGGATATAAAAGTAAGCAGTAAAGCATAAACACAATGATAGGAAGGATGTAAGTCAATTTCCAATTAATACTAGGGATAGTGAAGAGGAGGTCTTGAGAGAGGTACAAAAGAGAGGAATCTTCATTTTGTTTTGTAGTTTTATTTCCTCACATGGGTAATGCATCCAAAGGTATTCATTGTATTGTATGGTGCCATCCTATATATTGCTATATTATTTCTCATTTCATCTGAAATGGTCTATACAGGTGTTCAGAAAACACTGAAGAGTTCAGGATTGGACATCAGAAGACCCAGGTCCAATTCTCAGTTCTGCAAATTGTGTAGCTTTACACAATTCAAATAATTAACTTTCCTGGGCTTGATTTCATCTGTAAAGTCATAAAACATCATTTTCTTTCCCAATTCACAAGGCTAGGTTTGAGAGGTAAGTAAAGGAGTGTGCGTGTGAGAAATTTTAAACAGTGAAGACAGGTGATTTCTGAGAATTGAGAGCAAAACCTTGGATATTAAAAATAAGAGCTATCATGGGCCTTCCTGGTGAAGCAGGAGGTAAGTCTCAGCACTTTCAAGCTATTGCCAGCCACTGCAGCATGAGGAGTGTAAGTTCGATCCCCAGCCAGGGAGCTTAACTGACATGGCACAGCAGACCCCTTCTGTCTCCCTTGCAGTTCCCCTCAGCAGTGTATTTTAGTAGATCCACCTGTTCTACTCCCCCACTCCATTTCTCATAAATCCTCTCTCCCCCATCCGGCCCCTCTGGCTCACACCCCAATTCTTGTATGCATAAATAAATGAATCTTAAAAAAAAAAAAGCTACCAATAAGTAAATCAACTAAGGTAATTTGTTACTTTCTACTGACTTGTCATCACTGATTCTAAATATGTAACATCAATCTGAAAGTGGAGGAAATTTGGAGTTTACAACTCCTAAATGGTGGTCAATGGGTAGGCATAATCCCTTTACAACTGTTTCTTTAGCTAATTCTTCATCAAGTTGAGATTCATAACATCAAAACAAGAGAAGTACATTAAAAAGTACTTGCATTTAACTAAAACTATGTCTCATAACCACTGTTAACTGTTAGTTCTCAGTGCCCTTTCTGTAAAGCGAGCAGGTGGCACATTTTATTAGCCCTATATTACAGATGGAGAAACTGACTCAGATGTGGGGTAGCTTGCCTGGAGTTGTAAACCAATGCAGTGACAGAACTTGGAACAGACACTAATTGCCTAGTTCTTCTGTGTTCATTAAGCTACCAAAAACATTATTTTGCCATGAGGTTTTATGGTAATTCTGTTTGTCACAGGAAATAGAAAATTCTTCGTCAGATGTCATTTCATACACATTTCAAAATAGGCAAGAGACACTCAAGGAAAGAAGCCACTTAACTGCAGTACTGCATAGCAAGGGACAAAATTAAAACTGCCTAGTCTACTCAAAATCTAGCTTTCCTTGCCAATTAACCTTATTAATACAAGAGGAGGAAAAAAGAGAGGTCAAAATATGGGTGAGGGTGCTAGTCATCTCCTCCTGGATCACAACATAGCAATTATTGCAAAACAGGGATTTTATTTCTTTTCTAACACTGGCTGTCTCCACTGTTCTTCCTAAGTAAGTCACCACTCTACTTCCCAAAATAAAAATTTACCAACCAGCAAAGAGTTGGGCAGTCTCAAATTAGAACACTGGGAATTATGATAATCATCAAAATATTGGCTATGCCAACAGTATGTCACCCAAATACATTTATGTGATAAACATATGAAGAGACAAACTCTTTATGGAGGAGAAAAGCTCATTTTAGTGTAACTTTTCCTGTTAATGTAAACAGATGAACGCTATTACAACATGTACCTGATTTCTTACTCAGACTCATTAGGCAGTTTCAAATGCTGATACAGTATCTCTAAAATCCCACTTATTGGAGCCTTTAAAAAAATTCAGTAAGTCACCTTGTGGATCAATGATTGCATGTAACAGGAAGTAAAAAAAAACAGTAGTACCTTTTCATAAACAGCCAAAATTTAAAGGTCACCCTCTCTTTATTCCGTTATTCCTCCTTTCATACCAAATTCACCACATACCTTAATACATATATGTATGTATAAATATATATATATATATGCGCGCCCTGTGGTTGAAAGAAACCTTATCATAGATCAAGATTTAAACATTGTTTTTTTAAAATAAGACGTCGGGGTTCAACACTCTCTTCTTCACAAAAGCCCTCTGCACAGCAGTACAGCCTGACTTGTCAGAACTTTCGTTTCAGGGTTTAAAAAAAAAAATCCAAACAAAACCTCTAATTTTCCAATGCAAAAACGACGACTGAGGCGCCTACCCTATAATTCTAAAACAGGTAAGATGAACCGTACGACGGCCAGACCGGAATACACCAGTGATCGAGCATGGTGCAGAACCCAGCTGCACTCGAGACCGCCGGGACGTCGAGGAGAAAGCTCTCCCGCACCGCGAACCCCGAGTCCCTTAGGGGAACGCGAGCCTAACCTCACCTCTCTGTCCACGGGGAGGAAAAGCAAAGGGGGGGGGTGGTGGTGAAATGAGACCCTCCTCTGCAAGGAGAACCCCAAGCAAGCCCTCCCCAGCCTGCTCCCCACCCCCAGACCCCGGCGCCTCGCCCCACAGGGAACCCACCTCCTCCTCCCTCCACGGAGAATCCTCCCGGCAGCAGCAACCCGGTCGGAAGCGGCTTCCCCGCCTTCCCCGGCGCGGAGAGGGATCCCGGTCGCCAACAACAAAGACACCTCCCGCTCCCCTCCCCCAGCCCGGCCCCGGCTGCTCCCTCCCGCGCCGCGCCGCCCGGCCTAGCGCCCCCTCCCCGGCTCCGGCCGCGCCGCCCCGGCCCCCCCGCGAACCCACGCACCTGCACCGGAGGGGCCGCAGCCGCGGCGTCAGGGAGAAAAGGCCGGCGGGGAGGCGCTGCTGACGCGACGTCTGCGACGAGGCGCGCTCCTCACCGGCGCCGCCGCCGGACTCTCCCGGCCTGCGGGCGGGCCCGGCTGAGGAGGGGGGGCGAGGCCGCGGCCCCCGGCGCCGGGACGGGCAAGGACGGCGGCGCCTGAGGCGGCCGGCTCGCGCCCCCGACTCTCGCCTCGCGCCGGCCCGGGTCCCCCACGCGTGCTCGCGATGTGCTGACTAACGGCCGCGGCGCGAGGCGCTGGAGCGGCAGCCGCCACCGCCGCCGTCGGCTGCTCTCGGGCCTCACGTCCCGCGCGGCCGTGGTCGCCGGCGCCGCCACCTCCTTTCCTGGCGCCGCAGACACCACCCCGACCCAGCCAGGTCTTTCTTCTCGGGAATCCTCCCGCGTTGCGTCTCCTCAGCCGGCCGGCCGCGAGGCTCACGGTAGTGGCGGGAGCGAGGCTGGAAGGGAACCCCAAGGGTGAGCAGGGACCTCACTGGGCTACGAGTTGGTCACTGACTGGAGGAAGGTGCCAAAGCTGGCCCGGGATCCAGCCTGCGAGCCAGGAGAGGGGCGGGACGCAGCCAGCTTAGCCTGACGCCCACCAATCACGAGGCGCGCAGAGGAATCGGGCGTCGCGAGTGGCTGAGCGAACATCGGCAGGAGGCGGGGATTGCGGAAAAGAGGAGCCAATAGAATCGAAGGTTCTCTGGCTCTCTGTCTTGATGGACTGCCACGTTGGGACCAATGGGGGGGATTGTCGCTTCGAAGAAAAGAGGGATTTCTACTCCCGGTGCGGGAGCGGGAGGCTGCGCGGCGGGGGAGGGGTCGAGGCTGGGCCGTGTGGACGAGCCCCGAGAGCCGGGGGCCGGGAGAGTGTCATTTGACCTCCGGGAGGAGTCACGTGGGCCGAGGGGTGGTGGGCGGAGGGCTGGGTGAACCCCTTCCGGGTCGCTGACGGTAACTTCGACTCTGGAGGGAAATTCTAGCGCCTGCATCGCTGAGCGCTTCTCGTCCCGGGGCGAGGAGGTGGTAGTGTCGGCCATGAGCTCCCAGAAGGGGAACGTGGCCCGTTCCCGGCCTCAGAAGCACCAGAACACGTTTAGCTTCAAAAATGACAAGTTTGATAAGAGTGTTCAGACCAAGGTAGGAACCTGCCTGTTGCAGTAAATTGACTCCAGGAAAGGAATGGGTCAGTGGACGGGGAAAAAGGAAATGAGAGGAGTTGGCGAGGGCGTGTGTGGACTGCAGCCCAGAGTTAGTCTTGGCTGCAGTGCAACCCTTTCTAAAATGATATTCCCACGCCCTTTCTTTGACCTGGATGTGCGAGCTCGTAAATATATTTGGCGGGCCACACTTTAATTGCACAAAAAAGTGAGCGAGGACCCTCATCAGACCTCAAGTGCAGCTGGGGAAAAGGACTCATTGAACGCCCCCTTCTCCATCACGTACTTGTAATAATAAAAGAGGGTGGGGAGGCTTAGGGCACCTGTGCTGCTTTCAAATTTTGTAACAGGTTTATGCAGCCCCTTTCTTTTTGGAAGACCCCAAGCTCATAGATGTGTAGGGAGCTCGTGAGGGCTTAAACAGACGTTCTTAGCTTCAGTGTCCTCACCATCATGGGAATTTGTCTTCTTTCTGTAAGACTGTTTTGAGGATCAAATTTTTGATTAATGTAAAGGTGCTTGTTTTGTTTATAATTTCGTGGGATTTCTGTAAGCTGGAAAAAAATTTCTCGCTGTCTAGATAGCAGGAGATTTTAGGTTGTATGGAGAAGAGATAATTGAAGAAAAGAGCTTCGTGGGGGCCAGCATCACATCAGATAAACCTCATGTAAACCAGAGCTTAAATTTACTAGATGTATGGCTTAAGCAAGTTATCTAACATTAAATTTCTCTGAGATGTACTTTGGTCTCAAATGAGAAACCTGCCAAGAGAGATTGTTAAACTAAAGGAGGTACAGAAATGACCTGGGTCACAATAGGTTTCCAACAAGTGATTTATTCCTCAACATTGGTTAAGAAAGCAAAGTGAACTGTTTCTAGTAACCTGTGCTCTCCTTTTCCTTTCCTTTTTTTTTTTTTTTCTAAATGCTAAAAAGAGTTGTCTCTGCCTTCAGGGAGTTTATAGTTTTCTGGGTCATTGGCCAATAAGCAAGCAAAAAGATACATAAATACAAATTATGATAAATTTGACCAGAACAAAAATTTTGTTCGGCCAGAATAGATGTCTATGTCTACTGTGAATAGATGTCTATGTCTTATCCTGTATTCTTATCCTGATTTTGCAAAAGTATTTAACTCTTTATTTTTCATCAGACGATAAAAATCACTTTCATGAAGTATTTAGCTACAGTATAGCTTACTGTACTTGTAAGTACAAGACTTCTTGTACTTATATTTCTTGTACTAGAGTTTGTACATTTGTCCTTGTGCATTTTCTTGGCATTATCCAACATCCCTGTTTTTATGATCTTAGATGTTCTCATGGTTCTCAAGTTCAGTCACAAGTTTCATTTTGTGTAGCCCTTAATTCCTTTGCCTCTTAAATCATGAGGAAATCTCATCTGTCAATTTGGTAGGACCACCATCTGTTTTTGTTATTGGAGGACAGGAAAAAATATAAAGATGGTATTTTACTGAGAGAAGATCATTGGGTTGATTGTTCATCTGTCTAATAGAGAGCTAATAATTGTGTGCGTTTTAAAAACAGTACTTTAACCAGTTATGTGCAATTATCTAAAGCCAAGATTTTGTCTGAAGTGTTGGACCCTGTCATGGTTATTATGTTTTACACCAAAAAGCTGATTAATCAAAAGAAGGGATATTAAGCAATACATGGTTTTCTGTAACTCTCCTTAAAGGATCGTGTAAATAATTGAATACTTGTACCTTATTATTTGGTAGGGATCCTGCATCAGGTTCTTATGTCCTCCTTTCCCATATAGTTTATTTTGACTTTATTGAGATTAGAAGTTGGAGAATGACAGATGTTTTATTGGGAAGTTTAGGTAAAGCAGTCCCATTCAAAGCTAGTGTGAGTAATTTTAGTTTGAGTGATGAAGTGCCAGTCATAGGATAAATGTTATCTCACTCAGTGGGCATTAATAAGTAAGGGTTAAACAGGTGGAAAACCGTTGAACAAATCGCGGGTGGGTCAGTACAAATCCACTTTAGTCAGAGTAGCCATCTCTTTTTGGCACACTAGAGATCACCTGGGATTTCCTTTGATCTTTTTCCAAATTGGGAAATGTTCTTTGATAGAATTCACCAATGCTGCCTATTAAATGGATCTCTGTTGAATATAGCCCCCACCCCCATCCATTTGTTATTAAATTCATACTTTTTTAATTGATAAGGTGACTTAATCTATGGCTTGGTAGCCATAATGATCTACATAAGAAAATTATCCCTAATAAAAACTAGGGAAGCTCTTTTATTTTTTTAATATTATTTTCTCTGTTATTATTTATCTTTTATTTTCCCCCCTTTTATACAAAAATAATTTCATCCTTGCTGGTTGATATTCCATGTACCTGCATTGCATTGGCTTCCACTTGAAGCCAAGAAAGTGATTCTGCATGCTTTTTTTTCCCCACCACCATTCCTTACACCCCTTTATCTCTTCTTTCCCTCTTAATCTTGGAAACCTCACTTTGTTTATTCACGTCTGCTAGTTTTTATAAGTATTTTGCTTTGTCAAATTGTCCACCATATAAATGTCCAATATTCATCTTTGTCATTCTGACTTGCTTTACTGTGCATAATTCTCTTGAACTTTTTCTAAAAGTTGCTATAAATGGCAACTTTTCACTTTTCCTTATGACTGAACAGTATTCTGTTGTGTAGAAATACCAGGTCATCTTGATCCAGTCCTCTTATCAGTGGGCACTTAGGTTGTTTCCACGTCTTTGGGATAGATGCCCAAGAGTGGGAATCCTGGTTTTATATATCTATAAAGTGATCTGGTAAATACAGATCACCTCCCAAAATGGCTACAACAGTTTACATTCTCACCGACAGTGTAATAGGGTGCCTCTTTCTCTGTATGCTCTCCAGCACTTGTTGGGGGTCTTTTTAATATTTGTGATTCTCACTGGTGTTAGATATATCTCATCGTGGTTTTGACTTGCATCTCTCTTACTATAAGTGATGCTGTGTATTTTTCCACGTATCTTTTGGCCTTCTGAATCTCCTATTTGGTCAATCTGTATGTTTCTTAACATGAGGCCTACTACAATGTAATTTTTTTTTTTTACATCAATCATTTTAAACATTACATTTTATGTTTAGTGAATGACAATTGAAATTAATATGTCTTAATATGCTCTCTTGTGTTGAGGAATAGTAGGCTTCTGTGTTTTGAAATTTTATAATTGTTAATCCTTATGTCTGCAGAAAGTTAAATACTGCATTGTAAGAAAAAAAGGTACTCTCAGAATTCTTCATCCAGATAAATTAGTTCATCTAAGAGAAAGTAATAATTTATATTGTGTCCTCCAAATAGGTCATTTTCTGTTTAGAGAAACACTATAGTAGAGAATTACTCAAAGAAGCTCATGGCTGAGAGTAAAAGGCTGCTGCAGCGTTTGTTATTTTAAGCTGGGGTACTCTTTCCACACCAGCACATGTGTTATGATGAGGTCACAGGCAGGTGTACAGAGAATCCTGCTTGTCCTCAGAACAACCCTGCTGACAACTCATGCCAGCCTTCCTTTTTGCTTCCTTTCTCTCAGTTGACTTTTGTGAAAGGAAGAATTTGAAATGCAAAGGGGATAGAGAAATAGCTAACATACATAATATTCCTTTTTGAGATTTTCCTTGTCACTTTAAGTCAGATGACACTTATGTGTTTTGAAGGAGTTAAATAAACATTCCTTTTCTGAACTTGCCTGATGTGTGTAAGGTCATTATCATTAAGATTCTTTAGTTGCTACCTTAAGCAGAAAGAGAATTTAGTGGAAAGATACTGATCCGATTTTATGCATTTTATAGAGTGCTTATTTATTTGTTTTGGTTGATTTTTTAGTGTCCAACATTCCCAGGTTAGCCATTATTATTGGGAAATCTTATCCTCATTTAACTTTGTACATATACTCATTTGATGTCATCTTCCAACTTTTTAATGTCCCCCCTCCCTAATTTTTTCAATTTGCCACCTGGAATCTATAGTTTATTGTATCAAATGGAGATACAGTATTGAAAATAAAATTTCTTTCACTTTCTCATCCTACCTGATTATTCCTAGAACTCTGTTTCCCTGCAATCCATAAATGATAATGTTTTCTCACTCCACATCTGTGACTTCCCATTTAGAATTCTTTTTTCCATTTGCTGATTCAGTCTATTTCTTACAAAAAACCCCAGCTCTTCTGAAATACATGCCATCAGACTGTTATCTCTCCTGACCTGTACTCACTTTCTGGTTATACACCTCATCAGTACCTGGCACACTGCCTTTCCATGGATCCTGTCTAATTAGTCATTGCTTCATCTCCATGGATAATTCATCCAACATCTGGTCTCTCAGTTTTTAGCTCCTCCACCTCAGAAATCTAACCCTAAACTTACTGCTGCTAAGAGGTAAACTTTAAACTTTAAAAGAAAAGAAAAACTTGCCTACCATTTATTCTCTGCTTTCCTTTTTCCTGAAATATATTTTTTAATTCCACTGGATGCTTTTTTCCATTAACCCTCTACTTTCATTGTACCTCATTCATGTCATTTTTTCTTGTCTAGCTTGGAGTCCATGTTCCATCACTCTAACTGTTCTTTTACATATACGTCAGCTCCCTTATCCTTCCTTGTTTGGTAGATTTCTAACCCTACTGAAATCCAGATCTTTATTATTGTACCATCACATCTACCAAACTTGCATCTGTACACATGTGCTCTTTCCTGTTACAGTGAATAAAATGTCTGCTAGGACTAGTCCCTCCACTTACACCATGGGCCTCATTCCCTCTGGCTTACCTAAAAACTTAAAGGTTTCAGGATCCTCAGTTTTCCATGTTTTCTTAGATCTGTCTTTGTTTCTGTCTTATTTCAACTTCTTTTTAAAAAAAAAAAAAAACTTTCTTAGAATCCGTGTTCTTTTTCTAGCCTCACTCTCTTTCTTCTTCTATATACAAAAGCTTCTGGTTCTTT